TGCGTCCCTAAGATTCAANGGGAAAACAGCCCGCAATCTCGCTGATCGGAACTGGAAAAACAGAGATTTCAGAAACGACACCCTGAAATCGAAAGAACACAGAGAACGGAGATTACCTCCGAATCAGGATCAGAACCCTGATTCTCCTGATTCTTTCTGGTCTTTCCAACGGCTTATAGATCGTCTCCTAATTCTTTCTGGTTCGGCGAGAATCCTCCCTCGAAGCGGACTGATCGCAGACACGAAACTGCAGAAACCTCTCTCGGGAAAAGAACGATAACTCTCAGAATACAGATCCTATTTACAAACCGTTTCCTCCTGAATCAAGATTAGAGAGTGGAGAACTTACCCTCAAAGTTTCACTCTGATCTGATTCCATCTTCCCAACCGATCGTCTCTTCCAAAAACCCGAGCAGAATTGATTTTCTCTCAAGGAAATCACTTCTCTCACAATCCTCACATAAACACTCTATTTCTTCTCTCAACCTCTTCTGATTTCGGCCAAAAAGAAAAGAGAAAATGCGTTCCCTACGCTTATATAACGAAACCCTAGGGTTCCTAAACCGGTCCAAATCGAAACGATCAGAAATCAAACCTCTCGGTCTGATTTTAACCCGTGTCGATCGACACAGACTTCTCTGTCCGATTCCTCATGAGAACAAACAACCCGTGTCGATCGACACACATGCCCAAAAAATCTCCTTTTTGATTCATGGGCGTTACAAGTTGAACCACCTATTTTTTTTTTGTTATTTCATTACATTAATTGGTTTGAATTTGGTTTAGTTTATGTTTTGAACTTGGTCCAATTTACTTTTTGTGGTTAAGTTTATGTTTTGAACCATAAAAAAAAATATTTCGTGCCCAACCTAGTCTTTTTAGAACCAAATGTAGTCCACTTTAATAAGACTCAATTTTATTTTTTATTTTTTTTAGTTAGAAACAAAACTGTGTCCATTTTGTAACTCTTTTCCTTTAACTAATAGTCTAAACCCTATTATATGATTGAAAATTCTTTCCCGAATTTTCAACTACCGTTTATGTTTGAAATTATTACAAATAAGACCTGTTTAATAGGGCTATATATATACCAGCTCATAAACCTGTTTTACATGGTTGGTTATCTATTACATATGATATGATTTTACAACACCTCGAGACAAAATTTCTAAGTATTGTTGTTGTTTTGGCTATCTAGTCCAAATGAGTAAGTTGTTAATGAAGCTGGTAAGTTTAGAACGAATTTTTTTGCTCGTAATATTATATAATTTTTTCTTTCTTGACGCGAAGACAAATAACATATAGTTTAAATCTGTCTCAAACAATAAGTGGAACTTGTGCAATTATTTAAAAAAGATCAGTTGTTAGTCTATAT